CTCTCTCTCTCTCTCTCTCTCTCTCTCTCTCTCTCTCTCTCTCCCTCTCTCTCTTTCACTCTCTGACTCTTACTCTTTGACTTGCATAGAATTACTTTATTTATAACCTTTTTACTTTACTACTTTACTTACTATATTAAATTACCATCACCTCTATTGACAAACCTAGCTTTAATGAAAATATTATTTAGCCTAAGTTTACCAAGAATAATGTACGATTCTATTGCTAAACAAATGTTTCAAATCGGTCCAATAGTTCTTTAGCTTATTTAATACCTGCAAATATATTATTCTAGTACAGAAGAACTCAACTTAACCAAAGATCTTCCACATATAGTATTATCCACAGAGACGAGAATTCTAATAAAATCTAATATAGATATATATCGGAGGAACTGAACTCAAGTAGAGATCTCGCAGAGGTTTCTCATAGAGTATTATCTATAGAGCTGCATCTGAATTGTTAGCTGGCTAGAGAGTTAGATGGATAGTTAGATTGACAGCAATAAGCAATCGAATCTAATATAGATATATGTGGGATAAACTGGACTCAACTAGAGATCCCTCAGAGCTCAGAACTCTATAGAGACGCAACTGGATTGTTAGAGAATTTGATGGATGGTTAGATTGACAGCTGGATGTCAACACACAGAGATAAACGCATTGACTGCCTGCTCCGAGGTTGTTAGCACGAATCCTTGACGCATTCATTCATTTGCATGCGCACTCCAAGCACACTCGCACAAAGCATTCAATGGAATGAATTCATATGCATGATTTGTTTACATACATGGAAAGAATTATACATATATATGTGTGTGGAAAGAAGAAAATGCAGTTGACAGACGCAGACGCAGATTCAGACTCAGATTGAGTTTGAGCTGGAGTTGGAGTAGGAGTAGGAGTTGGAGTGTCTATCCGCTTGGCACTCGACAACATTGTCGAGCACTGGCACGGGGCACTTGTCCTTATGGAGCTGTAACGGTACTTGGGTCTAAGGGTGCGCGACTCGGGAGTCGCAACAAGTGTGGCAAGGCTTGGCAACTATACATAAATAACCTTGACATCGGCTCGACTCTGGCTGGCGTTGCGGCGTGCTTCCAGTCGACAGGACACTGAAGTCGTGCCAGCTGCCAGCCAGCCTGGCTGACTGACTGACTGACTGGTGGTGGTGGTGGCGGCGGTGGTTACTGTGGGTCATGCACTCAATCGCTCCTTTATATAATCCGATTTCTGTAGGCGTGCTGGGGTTGTTAACCTGCCCTCGACACGGCTGTTGCATAAATGGATGCGCAGCGAGCCTTGTTGCATCGCCAGTTGAGCTGAATGGGGCGGCAGTTGAATGGGGGGTTGGGGAATCCATCGATAGTTTGTGCGCCTGTCGACGGCGATTGCTTAAAGCCTATTCAGCTGCCAATTAATGGCGCTCGTTAGGCATTCATTCGACTCAACGTAACGTGACTTGACTTGACTTGACTTGAATCGTCTTTATGCACATGTGCATTCACAGCTGATGCGCGTCTCGTTCTCAGTCTTGGGCAGTGGCCTGGAAATGTCCATTAGGGCTGACCCGGCTGAGCAAACAGAACCGCAAATGCCATGCACGCATTGAATGGACGTTTACTTCCGGGCAGGAGCGGGGGCTGGGTGAGCAACTGGTCCTTTGGCCGCTACAAAAACTTTCAATTGACCCATTTTGGTTTGAGTCGCACTGCGGGCGTGGCAGTGGGCGCCATCAGGTGACATCAGCGGAGGACAATAACCTGCCGAGGCGCTCTTTGTTGCGCAATTCGTTCGTGGCGAGCCAATTAGCTCGACTGCCGCTACCGCAGCCGCTGCTGCTGCCGCTGCTGCTGCTGCTGCGTCTGACATAGTGGATGCTGGCGACAGCGGCCAACCTGACGTATGCACATTAACAAATGCCGCATACGCCGCGTGGGCCGTGTGTGGGCTGAGTGTGGGCTGAGTGGGGGCTGCGTGTGGCCTGAATGGCTTTGCAACTTGTCAGGGTGTTGCACTGGAAACGTGATGTTTAATTAATGCAAAGTGTAGCTGGGACTAGTGAGGCGCAGGATGCGCCACCATCGTGGCGGGCGTCAGACACGGGCCCCAGGCGACGACCAAGGACTGCATGCAACATGCGGCAAGTGTCGAGTGCACGAGTTAAACAGTTTTGCTCGGCTATTAACAGCGACTAATGGAACCAGACAACGGCCGCTGAGAGCCAAGGCGACGTTTATGCAATTAACAAAGACGAAAACTGGGTGGAAGATTCTCCCTCACTCTCTAACTCAGTGTCTGTCTCTCTCTCTCTCTCTCTCTCTCTCTCTCTCTCTCTCGCTTTCTGTGTGCTGCTTAAAGTGCTTGCCCCGCCTTCTGAGAAACTGCACCCAGTTACCAACAGATGGTTTATATAGATAGCCATTGCTCAAGACTAGAGCCGAGAGTTCATATTATGGGGCAAAGAAAAAAGAAGGAGAAAATATCAATTTAATCGCCCCAAGAGATTGGGCGATGCGCCTTAAGTAAACGCACAGAAATGGGTTAATGAGTTAAGTGATGGGAAAGTGTGAAAGATATGAACGAATATGAGAAAATTGTTGCGCAAAATCTGAATCGATTTGCCCAAATTCACTTGAGTTACGCTTGATTGGGAGCAAACTAGATGAGACTGAAATACCTAGCATACAAATGGATTTACTTAATGCGATGGATACACTCAGCATGTTTATGATGATAACACCAGGGCTGGATTAACAAGTGAGTGGAATGGGTAGTTGCCTGGGCCTTCTGATTTTAGCGGGCACCGAAAAGTGAATCGGAAAAGAGGGAAAACAGCAGAGCAGTGAAAAAAGAGGACTAGAGCTTAGAGTCAATCTGGCCCTGTGGAACCATAAATGTGCTATAATTGCAATAAATTTATTTTGCTGATACCAAAATGTGTAGACAAAATGATTCAGGGTACAGTCTGTGAAAATATTGTAGTAATATGATATTTCAGAACTCTATGGACTATATCAATAAGCGTAATATATGAAGATATCTTAACATACACACATATGCCTGATTGAAAAAAGTGTTGCATACTTTCGAGAGCTCATATTTTCAGAAGAGAATGTCGCATTTAAATCACTCACAATCATAACAAACAGAAGATTAAAAACTTTATAGCCCCTGTAGCGCAGAAGAGACCGAAATTTCAAATATTTAAGGAATTAGCAGCAATAGAATCACTAAGCTAATCAAGAGTTAAGATAAGAGAAAAGAAAAAGGAAAATATACCCAAGCACCTTAGCAATCCCGCTAATAAATCCCACTTTGGGAATAATCTTGGAGTTCACTTACATGACTTGCTCCTTGAGGGCGTTGGGCATGGAGGCTGCGGCTGCAGCGGCTGCCGTCTCGGCCAGCTTGGGTGGGCTGCTGACGAGAGGGGGGCTGCAGACGCGCGGGGGCGTGGTGATGCGCGGCGGACTGTGCATTTGCCGCGGTGGACTCTTGGCCAGCTCCGGCGGTGAGCTGCGCATCAATGGGGGCGAGGGCATGGCCGGGGCACTCTCGCCCACGGGCGGGCTCTGAACGCGCTCGCCACTGCGCTGCGATGATCTGACCGACAGAGCGGGACTCCGTTCCGAGATGGAGGCCTGCGACTTGACTGAGGCCTGCGACTTGAGCGACGCCTGAGGCGACAGCACGGGTCCGACTGCCGCGGCCGAAGCTATTGAGCCCGTGCGTGAACCAGCACGCGATCCAGCACGTGAGCCCGCATGGGAGCCCGCATGGGAGCCCGGGTGGGAGCCAATGCGAGAGCCGTGCTGGGAGCTAGTGCGCGAGCCGGCATGGGAGCGCTGGCTGCCGCTGCGACTGGGCACGCGTCCGTCCGACTTGGGCGATGCGGGCAAGGCGCCGCCCATGGTGCCCATGGTGCCCATGGCAGCAATCGCACCACCGGTGGACATCAGCCCGCCGCTGGCAATGCTGGCCGCCCTGGGGGAGCTGATGCTGTCGCCGGCTGGCTCACCGTTGCCCTCCTCGTCGGCCACATGAAGCGACATCTTGTCCATGGACAGCTCGTCGGTTTCGACCTTGGTCAGCTCATCGTCGTCGGCGTCGATCGAGTGCGACTGTTGCTCCTGTTCCTGTTCCTGTTCCTGCTGCTGCTCCTGTTGCTCCTGCTCCTGCTCCTGTTCATTTGCGTCCTCGAGACCAGCTGGCGGTGGCGGTATGAAGCCACGTCCCACACTATCCTCGTCCAGCTCACCAAAGTTCTCGGGCGGCGGCGCAATGATCGAGGATGCCGAGTAGCCATTGCTGGGTGGCGTTGTGATCGTCGTGGACTCGTCCTCATTGTCTAGAGATCGGCTGTAATCCTCGGCAGCCAACTGCTGGCCACCGCTCATTGGCTGCTGCTCGGGCTCGTGCTCGGGTTCGGGCTGTGGCTCCGGTTCAGCTTCGGGCTCACGCTCCGGCTCCGGTTCTGGCTCTGGTTCCGGCTCCGGCTCTGGCTCACGCTCTGGCTCTGGTGCAGGCTCAGTTTGGGATACTGGTTCCGGTTCCGGCTCTGGCTGCTGCTGCTCCTCCGGCTGCCTGGTGGAAATGGGCTGCGAGTTCGTCTGCGACTCCTCCTCGCTCTCGGACGAGGGGGTCAGAGGCGGTATCTGGCTGACGTGCTGCGCTGGCGGCGACACCATCTTGCAGATGTTGAGCTCCGGCAGCGGAGGCGGCGTTGCCGGCGGCGAGGGCGAGGTCGATGGTGATTTGGTCAGTGGGGGCGTGACGCTGCCCTGCACGTACGACAGATTCGAGGGCAACGGTGGCAGCGGCGGCGGCGGTGTGGATTTGTCGTCATCCTCATCCTCGTCGTCCTCATCTTCATCAGCATCTGCGTCGGTCTCCAGCTCCAGTTGCTGCTGCTGCTGCTGCTGCTGCATCATTGCTGGCGGCTCAATGATCGCCTCCTCGGCATCGTCTGTCTCCTCGCCGTCGTCGTCGTCGGTGCGCAGTCCGGCGTCGTCCATGGGCGACAGCGGCGGCGGTGGTATCAGCTCCAGCTCGAGCACCGAGTTGCTGGGCGAGCCCGACGGCGAGTTGGCCTCCATGCTCAGCTGCTGCTGTGGCGGCGGCGTCGGTGTTGGCGGCATATCGTCCGTCTCGGTCAGCGTGGGCAACGGCTGGCCCAGCAGAGCGCTCGTCGTCATCATCGATGTCGTCGTCGTCGTGCCCGTTGTCGACGGCGGCGGTGGCGGCGGTGCCACCATCAGCATCATCTCATCGCTCAGCGGAACTGTCGGCAGCGGCGGCGGCAGAGCCATCTGAATGCCCGAGCCGGAGGCGAGAGCATCGTCCAGATTTGTATTGCTGTTGTCCACCTCCTCGATGTCCGAGTCGATGCCCTGCGCAAAGTCCATGTAGAAATTATCGCGCGAGTCGCTGGAGCCGCGTCGCAATTTCAGCGACAGCGACAAGTCCGGCGAGCTATCCATGCTCGATTCCTCTCTTCCTGCTCAAATGTGTCCCCTCTCCCTGTCTGCCTCTGCGCGCTCCACTTGGCTTCACGCAAATTCCTTTGCACGAGCTGTGAATTGTTTTTGTTTCTTCTTCTCTTCTCCTCTCCTCTCCTTTCCCCTCCGCTCTTCCTGCTCTTTGTTCTGTTTTGCCTGTTGGCCTTTGTTATGGTTGTTGCTGCTGCTGCTGCTGCTGCTGTTGGCGCTTTTCACTTCACTTTATGGAGCTAACGCGCATTTTGTGTATCCTGTGTATCCCTAGAAATGCAAAAGTTACAGCAACACACACACACACACTCACACATATGTACAGACGCACACATGCACACACACGCACACACATACATGTAGTAATCAGCAGCCTCTGCGTTGTAGAACGGGTTGGCGGTGTGGGGCGTGGCAATTGCATTTGCTGCGCATTTCGCTTTTTACGCCACAAATCCTTTGAGTATGCGTGCGTATATGTATGTGTGTGTGTGTGTGTGCGTGTGCGAAAGTGCGTAATACGAAAGACGCAAGCAACAACAGCAACCCCGAAAGAGCAAGCGCAAAATTCAAAGCAGACAAAATAATTGCTGTTGTTGCCCGTTTCGCTGGTTGTTTTTCTTTTTTGCGCAATTGTTGTTGGCTTACTGACCAAATACACATACACACCCACACACACACCCACACCCATACACAGGCAAACACAAACACAAAGAGCAATGCAAAAGGGATACTCAAGCATCTACCGTTATGCGATAGACCTGCGGCTCTTGAATTCTAACGGGCAGGCCGAAACTTTATGTATGCCAAATGCGACGCTGACGTCGACGTTGACGTCGTCGCCGATGCCAACGGCGAAGACAACGCAGCGCCTACACAGAAAACCACTGTGCGTGCGTCTGTGTGTGTGTGTGTGTGTGTGTGTGTGTACACCAAATATTTTGCAAGTCTGTGTGAGTGTTTTTGTAGGGCAGGGATTTGGCTTCTTGAAACTTTCTTTGCACAGTAAAAGAAAAATCACAAAAAATCTTGAAACAGCTAACAAGCTACACCGTTATTTGATTTGAACTAACTTTTCGGATTACAATTCAATGCAATTGTTATAGTTTTCAATGGAATTTGAGTTTTTGTTGCATTGCAATCAACGTTGCCCGATACCGTTACACATTCACGTTAGCTTCGTTTTGCTACGTTTCGGTTTGGCTCGTTTCGTTTCGTTTCGGTTCCGGGTTTTGGAGGCACACGAAGCGCGCCTGACGCTGCGAAATTTTAGATTCCTGCTGTGTCGGCACTTAATTCTAGAATGAAACGGCAGCACGAGTCAAAGCTGCGCCATTGCCGTTGTCATAGAAAACAGATGCCACAGCCTCTCAGCCAGAGCTAGTTCCAGAGCCGGGGCCGGAGCCGGAGCCATATGCAGAGAGCGTGCGACAAATGAGAGCAGAGTCGACGGAGAGTGAGAGCCAGAACGCGCGTTCCAGAAAGAGAGAGAGAGAGAGAGAAAGGCTATGTGTACGATGGTTGCTTTTGCACGACTAATGAATGGAGAGTGAATGTCGAGTATTACTGTGTACGCAGCATCCACATATTCGGCCCACTGTAAGCGTACCTAAGAATGTATGTATGTTCTCTCTCTCACACCCTCTTCGATTCCGGGAGCGTGTGAAGTATGGCACTGCGTACTGTCACCTCAATTGAGAGCAACCGTCGCATGAACAACAACAGTAACAACTGCAGCTTGGTCAAAACGGATGTGCGCACGCCTCCAGACCTGTATGCGCTATGTGCTGGAATTTAGCATATTTTGTGTGAGGAGAACAAGTGCAGTATGAGTAGGAAGCTTAAATGGTATTAAAATAATAATAAAAAAAAAACACAAGTCACTGCTATTTGATACAGTTAACATTATTTTTGTCATTCAATTCACGGAATTTTACATAGGCAAATTATTATGCTTACTTATTAAGGCCAAATCAAACGGCGCGCTAAACTTAAATGACCTGACAACGATATCGATACATATATCGATAGCTTGAATGAAATTGTATGGTATTTTTTGTGAATTCTTGTTGCAGTTTCGGCAACGCATTGGTATATTAATACCAAAAATATTACAATTATCAGTGTAAATAATAATCGGCATGCCGCCACAGCGTATCGGTGATTATCGTGCGATTCTTTTGGACAATTTGACAAAAAATTTTCCTAGATGTATATACATATATGAACGTAAAATCAATTGAAAAATTTCCAAGTGCGTCATATTAACTCGATGATTCGAAATCGCCTAATAAATCGTAAAAGTGTGGACCAACAATGAGTTCGCGAAGACCAGGTGCTGGGCCCACGCTCAATTTCAAAGCTGTGCTGCTGGGCGAAGGTGACTAAACCAACAATCGCAATTGTTGTTTTTTTCTTTTACATACATGTATGTATGTAATAATGTACATATATCTAATGTGCTGCGTATTTGTAGGCTGTGTGGGCAAAACATCTCTTGTGTTGCGGTACATGGAGGATAAATTCAATACACAGCATCTCAGCACGCTGCAGGCGTCGTTTGTGACCAAAAAAGTGACGCTGCCTGATGAGCGACGCGCACAGCTCAACATATGGGACACGGCCGGTCAGGAACGATTTCATGCCTTAGGGCCTATATACTATAGGGGATCGGATGGTGCACTGCTGGTGTATGATATCACCGATGAGGACTCGTTCCAGAAGGTCAAGTCATGGGTGCGCGAACTGAAGCAGATGCGTGGAAGCGAAATCGCTCTGATTATTGTGGGTAACAAGACTGACCTAGAGGAGCAGCGAGCCATCAGCTATGAGACGGCGCTGCGCTATGCTCAAACGGTGGGCGCAAAGTACGTGGAAACGTCGGCCAAGGAGAACGACGGCGTCAACGAGCTGTTCGAGCTGCTTACCCAACTGATGGTGGCCCATCATGGGAGTAAGCAGCAAAACGATACCAATGCATTGCGTCTACAAAACGCGATCTCGGAGGACGGAGTCGAGCCGGATGTGGATGAGAATGTCCCCGCTGTCGCCGCCGCTCATCGCTCTTGTTGCGGCATCTAGACTGCCTGGCAGTCGTCCATTGTGATAATACATATGTGCTAGTTAATCTAAAATCGATGTTTATTTGTAAATAGTACGTGTATGTATGTATGTACCCATTATACCATATAGAACCATGTGCGATCTGTGCTAGCATGCGTCTGTAGGTATGATTCTGTTATTAGTTACCCCCTTTGAATAGCAAACATCCAAAAATTTGTCCAGTATTTTTTTTTTTTAATGTCGTGTTTTCTATTATTGCTTTTCTTTTTTGTAAATTGTACGTTTCACATTTGTGTTCTCTTTATTTTTTGGAAATTGTTGATTAAATTTATTAGTATGATTCATTCTTTAATTTTATGAATTTATTTAACAATTTTTTTCTTGTGAAGCGATAAGAGAAGTCATTTAACCACAAATTTCTTGAAATTCGTTTTTAGCATACATATGAGAATTTCTAAAAAGAAACATTCTGGAGAATCAACTTTTAGTTTTTTGAGTTGAACTTAACAATAAATCTTTCTAAAATAGAAATATAGTATTTGAGGTTCAAGTTAGCAACAACTATTAAAGATAATTTCAAGTAGATTGTATATATGATAATTTCCTTAGATTGTTTAGGTTGATCCCAAATGTCAAGGGCTAGCGGCTCCAATTAGAAAGCTCTAAATGAGTGCATTATACTATTGGGAATGGCTGGAGTCCATTAAGTTAATGAATGAATATTGAACAAAGATTGCTCTTCAATTACCGTGAGCGCGTGGCTGAGCCAAACTAACCACGCTATTCATTTATGTATATATATATTCCACACGGGCATGTCAAATGACAATATTACTGTATTGTCATATAACATGCATACACACCGTATGTGTGTGTGTGTGTGTGTGTTGGTATTGGGAGAGCCTTGTGTTCATATTCTCAAATGACTTGTTATTTATGCATAGTCAGCTGCTGCCTTGGCTCTGGCATTGCCGGCGACTGTTGCAGCTGAAAAGCGCCTAAGCGGCCATCGGAGAAGGTTGCCAAAATAGTGGAAGAAACCTTAGGCTTGTATACATACATATATACATATGTGCGTGTGCGTGTGGCATGAAGCCCTTAATCTTGATATTGAAGACATGGCTGGCCTATGGCTTCGTGACGCTCTTCGCGCTGCTCTGCCAACTACTGGAGAGATCAGCTCGAGCGCTGCTCTCACTGCGGCCATAGCCAGGCCGCATTCATTCGTGTACAGATTCGCTAAATACATCAACTAAATGTATATACTGTAGTTAAAGTTAGTATAAGTACGAGATTGACAACGAGTTTCCATTGAAAATAGAAGTTAAGCCTTGATAGTTATCCCAACAAATGACTTGATATGCGAAACGCGTGTTAGATGTACAGTTATATGAAATGTTGGAGCCTTTCAATAACTGGAAGTACGCTTAAAACACCCATGTAGATCTTAAAGTTTAAGTAGTAGAAAACAGTTCAAATGAGGAGAGACTCTATTTAAGACGCTTCAGAACAACGAGTTGTATTCTAAATAAATGAAACCGTAATATTGTTATTATAATTGTAATCAATAAATGCCTTGAATGAAATCAATTAAACGTTCGTCTTATTAATTAAGACTAACTTAAATCACTTAAAGCACTGAGTATATTGCCCCATATAGCTGGGCTCATTTTGGGAGCCAGCACATTGTATATTTTCTAATCTCTTCCCTGATAGCCTTAGCCACCCAATTGACGCTCTCTGCGGCTGGTGGTTTATCAGTTGATAAGTCCGCTTATCAGTTGGAGAATCGAGGGAAGGCAAGCCGTGAGTACATTTGCTTATTATTGACACAGCAATCAATAATGCCTAATCGTCAACACGTTCACAGGTAGTCGCCGTTGACTCACACCACCAGCACCACCAACAGCACCAACAGCACCAACAGCACCACAGCACATTAGCGATAAGGGGCCAAACACAATTAGTCTATGAACAGCAAAGAGGCAGGCGACAACGGCCACTAATCGCTGTTAAGCATTTGGACGAACGCCTGGAGCATGCAATCTGACGGGGCATGGCAATTGCCGATGACCGTTCAACCTGCTCGCTGACTGCTGACTGCTGCCTGATGCCTGCTGCCTTCTCCAACAGAAAGAACGAAAACTAGGTGAGCATTGAATATGCGCCTGCAAATGCGACGCACGCTAACTCTGGTGCTGCTCTGCCTGTTCCTGTTCGGTGCGCTGATTTACAAGATTAACCATTCGCCGCTGGTGAACCAGAATGGCATACTGCGCGAGTACCTGATCGGCGGGCAGGTGGGCGTGGCCAGGCGACCAGCGACGCGAACGATTCTGCTGTGGAGCAGCTTCTTTGGCAATCGGCGCTGGAATCTGCCGTACGATACACTCGGGCCGCAACAGTTTCGAGAGGATCTCGGCTGCCCGGTGTACCAGTGTGAGCTGAGCAATCGCCACGAGTTCCTGCCCAGCCTGGAGCTGTACGATGCCATTGTCTACCATGTGGCGCAGCCGTTTCCGCTGCTCCTGCCGCTGCCCGCACGCCGCAGTCCACATCAGGCGTACGTCTTCGCCCTGATGGAGCCGCCGGGCGAGACCAAGCACCAGCTGAGCGACGAACGGCATTTCTATAACCTGACCATGACCTATCGCCTGGACTCGGACATCGTTTGGCCCTATGCCCATGTGGTGGACACGTTGACTGGAGCACGTGTGGCGCCCGCGACCTTTGCCCACTGGCGGGCCCCGCCGCCTCTGGGCAGCTGGAACGACAGCACTGTCGCGAGCCTGTGGCATACCAAGACCAAGATGGCCGCCTGGTTCGTGTCCCACTGCCAGACGCTGTCGGAGCGCGAGCAGCTCGCCGCCGCACTGCAGAAGCACATCCAGGTGGACATCTACGGCAAGTGCGGCACACTCAAGTGAGTAGCGAAGGCTGTCGACTCTGGCCGGAGACTCAATTCCATTCTGCTTGCAGCTGTGCCCGCGACGATCCGCACTGCAGCGAGATGTTGGACACGGACTACATGTTCTACCTGGCCTTCGAGAACTCGCTGTGCACGGACTATGTCACCGAGAAGCTATACGATGCACTGCAGCGGCACATAGTGCCCGTTGTCTTTGGCGGCGCCAACTATAGCCGCTTCCTGCCGCCGCACTCGTACATCGATGCGAATCGCTTCGATAGCGCTGAGGAGCTGGCGCAGCACATGCGCTTCGTGGCCGGCGATAAACAGGAGTACATCAGCTACTTCTGGTGGCGCGAGCACTATCACCTGGCGACCTTCTCGCCCTTCTGTGAGCTCTGCGCTCGCCTCCACCAGCCCAGCTGGATGCACAGGACCCAGAGCTATGACAACATTGAGTCGTGGTGGTTCAACGGCTGTCGGCTCTCCTCTCACATACGGCTCTGAGCAGCGCAGCAATAGCCGGACGCCCACATGAGACTGAAAGGAATGCAACTATGCCGAACGCCAGTTGTTAGAGCGAGACAGAACCTTTCGATAAGGAACAGTACGAAATAATATTCCATGGGGACAAGATGTGGCCACATGTCTGCACTTAGATCCAAATACTGATTAGCTCTAAGGGGCGTATGCGTCACGCCCACACCCACACACACACACCTATACGTATATATGTATACGGAGCTAACGGGGCTTACTGCTAGCTGTGTTTTCCCATATGCAAAGTACTTAGGTAAATTAGAGGCTTTATCTATATAGAGGCTAGCTATAACGTTGGGTTTATACACACACATATATCTATTTATAGCAGGCTTATCAAATGTTGTGAGAAACGCAAGTATATCTCCCAACTTCGTTTCACCTACTTATCACTATGTCAACTTGCTCAGCGCTTTGGGCTTGCCCACTCATAGAGATAACAAGAAATTTACGACTTATATACATAGTATATGTTATACATATGTACATATCTATCTATATACATATATACATATCTATTGAGTGTACTCATCTAATGTGTCTTCGACTATTTTAGCGTTGTATCTATTCTACTTATATTTATTACAATTTCCTCTAATTTAACTATCGCTTCATTGTCTTCAAATCCAATTTACACTGAATTTATGTAAAAAAAAACTCCTTATTGAAATCCTGACAGTATTGATAATAACTTTTGATTTCAAATAAAAAGCAATACGCAATTTCTTAATGGTTCTAGTTTTATTATTCAAGGAACTTGGTATACAAATATTTCATCAAGAATTCTCTTAGCTAAACGAGCCTTGGGAGAATATAAATGAATATAAATTATTTAAAGTATTTTTAAAGATTGATAATTTTGGGAGAAATTTTTTTATCTTATCGTCTTTTTCTGAGTCCAGACCTGTTGAAAATGTACAACAAATTAAAACATCAACTGGAATACAGGGTATAAAATAATCCAAATGGAATTCAGGTGATTCCCATTAGATTTTTGCATTTGATAAATATCTGTTTATACACATAGTTTATTTATTTATATTTTTTAATTTTTATATCTATATATTTATATATATATCCTCGTTTAACCGGTGTTTTTTTTTCACTCAATTCGGTTCAAAAGCTTTTTGAATCCATCAAATTTCAGTTGTCATATCGCCTCAGGGCTGCAGCGCATGTTTAAGGGCCTGTAGGGCCGCACGTGCAGTTGACCAGTCACGACTCACGACGGCCGTGTCACGCGCACGCGCCTCAACAAATGTCAAGTGTCAAAACTGATGAAAGCGTCAACAATGACAGGACTTGTTTTGTTTTTGCCTCTGCTGCAACCACGTCACGCGCTCTCTCTCGCTCTCTCTTCCTCCATCGCTGTCCCGTTCGCGCGCATACGCACACTCTCGTGCTGTCTCTGTCGGTGAGAGTGAAAGCTTAAGTTGTTGTGAATAGAAGCTCGAAACCTTCAGGCTTATCACGTCACAGCTTTCTGGCACAGCAGGAGCTCCACATACACACACACAGAGAGAGAGAGAGAGGACGGAGCCGAGCGACGTCAGCTGTGTGTGTGCGTCCGCGAGGGGCTGGTGGGAGGCACGTGTCCTCGTGTATGTATATGTGTATGGTTCTTTTTTGCGCGCAGCTTTCTGCGAGAAAGCTTTTGAAGGATACCGCTGCGTTTGGCGAAAAGCACTTCCTATGAGTTTTCATGGCACGCTCATTCATTCTGTGCTAGATTTCCCGATAGTTCAAATCAGAGGTAATAAAGAAAACGAGAAGACAGCAAAACGCCAACCACAAACAATCTGAATAAAATCCAGCTAAAGACCCTGAATAAAAAACAATTGGAATTATTTCATAAATTTGCGCTGGCAAAAGTTAAACAATTTTTTTTTTTAATTGTTCTTTAAAAGTGCGCAAGAGTGAGACGTAAGTTGCATAATTTTAAATGTCAGAGAGAGCAAGAGCGAGTGAGAGTTGGAAGTGTTTCAAATGAAAAGACAAAGTTCAGTTTAATTATTGTATGTGTTTAATATTTTTCGCCATAAATAAATTTGTAAATTGCTCTGTGAGTGCCTGAAAATGAAGTTGCGAAAAGCCAACGGAGAAACTTTCACTGAACTCAAAGCTAATCAGAGGAAAACTTTTTCGTAACGTGTTTGACAAGTGAACAAAGAAGAAGAAGAGGAAGATATAACGTGTAGCACGTATGTGTGCCTCTGTGTGTGTGTGTGTCTGTGTATGTGTGTGATGTGTGCGTAGGCAGCAGCGTGTTCTCTCTAGCTCTCTCACTCTTTCGCTCTCTTTGCACTGCTTCACTAGCCCACACACACACGTACACATTTTTCAGACCCCCTCTTTGAGTGCGTCTCACAACCATCGATTTTTTTTCCTCTAGCTACAGCAAAACCCCAACAACAACAACAACAAGTATACGAAAAAGTAGGTACTACTGCCCCCCATTTTCATTGACGTTTGTCCTGCATTTTTTTCGACTTTATTTTCGTATTTCTCACCCACATTGGCCCCATGTAAATAAGCATTTCCTTTTGCCTTATTTCGTAATGTTTTGGGTGTAATTGCCGTGTTCTTAGCAGTTGTTAGTTTTTTTTTTATTGCATAAACGAATGCTGAAAATTAGCCCGGAAATCTATTTCATTTTCCTATACACCCTTGAGGCATACACATAAAAAAAACGAAAAACTTGAACGTGCAAGCTATCGGCATTTCAAGATCAGCAGATTAGAGAGATTCATTAACGAGAGATGCGACATGTGAAAGAATTTTAATCAATATTGAAATATTTTGATTTAAAATTTTGATGTAAAATCTTAGGACAAAAATAAGGAAACAATTCAGATAATAAATGAAATATTTTATATTCTCATATAGAGAGAGGCAAGCTATATATGTTTTAGGTAATACTTATTATTATTATGTTATTTATTTATTTATTTATTTTTTGCTGGCATTTTTATCAATTTATGTATTTTCTCTTCATAGCCTCTACTCTATTTAATAGATATTTCTATAGTGCAGTAAATAATTCCAATTACTATATTTACTTATTTACAGTTGGATAGGATAACTTGTAACTCGTATCATTCATGTTGCATGCCGCATCGAAGCTTTTGTTGCATACATTTCAAGCATTTGCCTTTTCAATGCCAATCTTTTTTTGTCAAGTGTAAGACAAAGCTGTCCGTCTTCTTCTTCTTATTCTTATTGTTGTTGTTTGGGGTGTGTTTGTTGTAACTGCTGTGGTGAACAGTGTGCGTGTGTGTTGGTGGTGTGGTGAAAAAGCTCTGCCAAGTGGCAAGTTCATCTGTAGGTACACAATTGTGTCAATCCGCTACTCAACAGAGTGTCTCTATGTGTGTGTGTAGGTCTATGTGTGTGTGTGTGTGTGTGCGAATTGAATTTTTCCATGCAACACTCGCAGTTGAAAAGCCAACTCAAATGTTTAATGAAAACGCATGAGAACTGAATAGAAAATAAAACGTCGAACGCTTTAACGTTTCACATTGAGTCTCTCGCCAAATATTCCGGACATTGCGAGTTGCGGCGGTGAGTGCCAAACGTGTCTAACCATCCGTTCTCAAATAGCGAGATACCCATTAGTCATAGATAGATTTTATTTGACATATACACATACAGTATACAATATACATACATACATATATACGGACATATATGCTCACACGCACGTATGTAGCTTGCTTGAACCAAACTCTGCATTCCATTTGCGTCCACTGAGATGGGATGCTGCTGTATTCGTTGAAATCGTAGAAATCCTAGCTTACATAATGCCCGCGTCAGCTAGCCCCCTTCCTTCTCCTCGTTGCGTTAGATCCACACTGGAGCGTGCATTCATATGCATGTACACATGTAGCTACATGCATATGAGTGCATGTGTATGTGTGTGTGTGCGTGTGTGTGAAGAGTATTAAATGCGATGCTTGGGGCGGGTGCGTGTACTTGCAGACCGATCTCGATGTCTCCGCAATTAGATAATGCTTAAGTTACCAAAGGGCTTAAAAAAGAAAAAGAAGAAGTCAAAAAAGGACCAGGAACTCTTCACCGAAGAGGAGCTCGAACAGTACAAGCGGGAGCTCAAAGCGAAACAGGAGGCTGCCGCCAACAAATCAGACGCTGGCGAATCGGACGCAGCATCGGACGTCGAGGGCGCAGCAGCCACATCCGCATCGACACACGCATCAGGCTTTGCATCAACAGCCAGCCACGAGCATCAGCAGCATCAGCAACAGCAGCAGGACCAGAGCGCTGACGCTGGCGACGAAGAATGGGCCAAGTTTAAGGCGTTAACATCCGGTGTCGATAACATATTACACAAGACACAGGACGAGCTAGATCGCATCAAGAAGGAGTCCTTCTATCAGCGCCTGCCCTCGGCAGCAGAAAAGAAGAGGCAAGAGGAGGAGGAGGCCGCAAGACGCGAGCAGGAGAGACTCGAGCGCGAACGCCAGCTAGAGGCCGAACGTGAGGCGAATCGTGACAAGCTAGCGGAGGCCGTTGTTCAGCTATCCGATTCGGAGGACGAGCAGCAGGACGACGTCGATGACATCTTTGCCACCGACTACATTGAGGCAATTACCAGCGGAGAGGTGCAACTAGCTATTGTACCCGATTCGCCAGTGCTCGAACTAGACGACGGACCCGATCCCTTTGACACCGCCTACGCGGAGAAGGTCATTGTTGGCGCCGACAAGGCCAAGGGCAACAAGAAGCTCGTCAGCCTTGGCGCCGCCGTTGAGGTGCTCTCTGGCCGCGTCGACCGTGAGCACGCTCTCGCCTTAGCCAATCCGAAGCGTAAGCTACGCAAAGGCATTCAAAATCTACTGCTCAGCGAAAGTGTTGAGGTAGCCGATTCGGACGTCGATCTCATAACAGCCGAGCCCCAGCACACTCTGCTCGACGATCTCGTCGATGACGTACCCGAATGTGTGGCGCCCATTGATCTGAGCGTTTCGCTGCATTTGAACTTTATCAAGCCCCAAAAGGTCGAGGAGGAGGACGAGGAAGCCGACGGCAACGCACTCAATCCGGATCTATCCGAGTTTGATACGCTCAAGGACGACGAGGACGACGAGTTTGCCGAACTAGCAGCCGAGTCACTACACACCAAAAAAGAGGAGGTTATCATAGTTAATAAGGTTGAGCTGCCCCCAGCGGAGCTACTTGCCGAAGCTGCAGCAGACGCCAGTTGGGCAGAGTTTGAGCCGGAGCCTGAGGAGGAAGCATCAGGTAGGTTATCATAGCGAGTGGTAATTCTAGAAATACTGATTGGGTAACTAACTTTATTTTGAAACATCCTATAGACTCTCAGAAGATTCTGTACTTTTGCTTAAGCTCTAGAACTAGTTAGGCGTCCCAGTTTCATCTCCATGTACTCATCTCTTCAAATATATTTCCAGGCAAACCGAAACGACCACCGCCACCGGTTCGCCCAGCCAGCGGGCCACACATTGTGCCCGGCGCAATCTACGTTAGCGACGACGAGGACGAGGCCAATCCGGAGGACGATCCGTTCAACACTTACTACGCGGAGCAGGTGATCAAGAAGACAACTGTTCTTGAGGAGGACGACGATTTCGATCCGCGCGCCGAGGAACCAGCCGACGCCTCGTCTCACTTAGCGGCGCCTGGCCGAGATCTCTTGGCCGGTAGTGCCACCGACTTAAGTAAGGTGGTGCCGGCGCCTCTTGCGCCCACGCTAAGTGTTGACAACCAGGAGGAAGACCAGGACTTTGATCCATTCGACACATCGGCGGTAAACGCAATCGTTCAGCCCAAGGCCACAGAGCTGAAATTTTTGGAACGAGAGCTGCTCAACGAGACCGGTTCGAGCCTAAAGCACTCGCTTAGCGATCCGGACTTTGATCCGCGCGCCGACCAGCCAGAGGTAGCTGCAGAGTCAGTGCCACGCGAACAGATTGCCGCACCGGAGCCGGATTTCGATAGTGCACGTCGCAAATCGTCGCTGAGCCTCAATATACAGGGAAAGAGCGTGGGCTTTCTGGTGCCCTCGCAGGACTTGCTAGCCGCTGGTAATGACGGTGGGCTGGGTGCCAATAAGAAGCCGCTGACACCGTACTACCAGCCCATTCAGGAGCGCGAATCAGAGGATCCGTTCGACACTTCGTATGTGCCCGAGGCCAAGCTCACTGACATTGAGCTGAAGCACATTGAGGCCGATTTGATTACAGAGCCCACACTAAAGCATAGTCTATCGGATCCGGACTTTGATCCGCGCGCACCGCCGACGCCCGTGCCCGCCGAGGTGCTGCTGGCCGTCGAGGAGAACATCAACATCAAGGTACTGACGCCCGCACAGGAGCGCCGACAGCTGCCCAGTAACCCCCAGCAGGACGAGGATTCGGAGGTCGATCCATTCGACACCTCGATTGCAGCGAATCTGCAGCCGGGTCAGACGGAACTGAAGCTCTTAGAGAACGAACTGCTGCCGGAGAGCACCAAGCAGCCGGTTACCGGAGTTCTCGACACACAGAGCGACGCACAGGAGTTGGGATTGGGCGATAAGGTGCTGACGCCGTCGCTGCCAAATCGCACAACCGAGGAGTCTCTGGCGCAGCAACAGGAGATCGATCCATTCGACACTTCCATTGCAGAGAATCTAGCACCGGGCGAAACCGAGATCAAGCTGCTCGAGAGCGAGCTCATCGAGCGCTAAGGCCTGGAAACACACACAACCAAAGCAGAAACAACAAACAGAGAAGATGGCCAATCCGTTTTTAATGGACGATGACCTGGACGGTGGCGATGTGGCCGTGAATCCATTTCTAATGCAAACCGAACCGGAGGCGGCTGAGTCGGAGAATCCATTCGGTGAGTCGGCCTCAAATCCTTTTGCCTTTGGCGGCGATGAGCTGGAAACGGAGGCAGAGCCAGTGGCTGACATCGATCCAGCCATGAGCTTCTTTGGCACCACCATTGAGGCCGAGGACGATGCGCTTAGCTTGAAGTCGGCAGCCGAGGAAGACGATGAGGGCAAGAAGGGTGCTGCGCCCCCTCCACGCCCACAGCCACCACAAAGCACACAGGATCTCATAAACACCGTCTCCAATCAACTGGACGAGACAAGCTCGGAACTGTTGGGCCGAATACCGGCCACCCGCTCACCCAGTCCCGTGTCCATGCGGGATCTGCACTCGCCCAGCCCCACGCCCGACTCCGGGCTGGCCGATCTGCTCGATGTGGACGTGGATGTGTCGGACAGTGGCTCGAGTGCCCATAACCAAGCTATTGAGGCCGATCTGATGGGCGGCAGCAACGGTGCAGCTCCGGCAGTTCCATCGCCGCTCGACAATCCCTTCGGCGTGCCAACGGCGGTGCCCAGCCTGCAGGGCATGGCGCCCGTGTCCTCGCCGGCCAAGCAACAGCCACCGCGCCCGCCACCGCCACGCCCGGTGCCACCGCGGCCATCGCCGCCAGCCCACATGCAGGGCCATGGTCAACAGCAGCCCGTGCCGCCGCAGCGTCCGCCGCCACCATCGGCGCAGCCGGCGGCCGAGGCAGATGATCTGCTGGACATGTTTGGCAGCACCACCAGCAAACCGGCCAAGCCACCGCCACCCAAGACCAAAGAGGACATACTTAGCCTGTTCGAGCAGCCAGCGGCGGCGCCAGCGCCAGCCCCCAAGCCGGACCTGCTCAACGACGATCTGCCGGAGGCGCAGCCGCGCGATGAGCCCATATTCAGCTCGTTGCTGATTCGACCCGATGACAGCACCCATGACATTACATCACAGCCGCAGTCTGCTGCCGGGACGCGCATAGCAGCTCCGCAGGAGACACCGCAGAGGCAGCGAGCACCGACGCCGGATATTGAGATTACCACAGTGGAGGACTTGCCACGATCGGATGATGAGGATGAGCCGGAACCAGCACCAGTTGAGCAGCAGAAACCAGCAGCAGATGAAGAGCCCGAGGCCGAGCGTCAGCCCGAGCCGGAATCAGAGCCGGTGCCGGAGCCCGTGCAGCCACAGCTCGAATCGGAGCCGCCACGGGAACCGCAACCGGAGCCGGAGATCGAACAGCCAGCTGCCATTGAATCGGATCATAGTCCACCCACAGAGTCGCCGGCCACAGCACAGGCCGTGCCCGAGTCTATCATGGGCCTGGGCAACGACGAGCCGGAGCAAATGGACACTGGCCTGGACTTTCCTGGCCTGGCCAGTGGTCAGCTGTCGGCGAATCCCTTCGCCAGCCCCGAGGAGGAAGACGACTCCAGCTTTCAGCCGCCAGCGGCCATGGTCAGCAATATCTTTGCCGTGGACGAGCCCGAGGTGGAGATGCCGCCAGAGGTGCAGCCGCGCGCCGTGCCTCCGGTTCCGGTTTCGGTTCCGACACCGGCTCCGGCTCCAGCTGCCAGCTATGTGAGCAACATCTTTGCAGCTGAGCCGGATGAGTTCGATGCATTCTCGGCCAAATTTGACTCGGTCAAGAAGGACAACATCAGCATACTGGATGGCTTCGGTGGTGGCGGAGGATCCGGCGCTATAACACCCACAGGTGGAGATGGTAAGTAGCGTACACCCCACATACAAAGCCGGTGTCTGAGATGAATTTCTTGCGTGCCTTTGCAGCTTGGGGTGACAGCGCCTTTGGCTCGGCCACGACCACGGCGAATGCCTTCGGCGAGGTCAACTCAACGGACGATGGCTTCGGCAACGAGGATGACGACTTCTATGCGATGCAAGCGCCGGCGCGTGCCGATTCGGTCGAGTCTGTGGACAAGGAGTTCAGCGTGGTCATCAGGCCCAAGGCGGAGGGGTCAGCGGGCGTGGCACCGCAATTGGTGCCACCGCCGCCGCCGACGCGTGCAGCGGTGCCGACGTCGGCCACATCGCCGCCAGCGGTGAATCCATTCGAGGATGTTAGCGGCTTTCCGGCACCACCGGCTGCCGCAGATGGCAGCATAAAGCGCACAGACTCGCAGGATACGCCACAGACGCCTCTGTATGACGAGGATGTGTCACAGCCGCTGGAGGAGTTCCCGCGCCTCAACTACATCGGCCCCGGCTGGGAGATGCAGCTGCGCCAGCCCAACAAGAAGAAGATCACCGGCCAGCGCTTCTGGAAGAAGATCTTTGTGCGTCTGGTGATGCAGAACGATGTGCCCGTGGTGCAGCTGCTGAATCAGGCGGGTGACAAGCAGCCGTTCCAGGAGCTGCCCCTGCAGCCCTCCTACTCGGTGTCGGAGATCGGGGCCCAGCAGTACGATCAGTTTGGCAAGATCTTTACCATGAAGCTACAGTATATATTCTATAAGGAGCGCCCAGGCGTGCGACCCGGCCAGGTGACCAAGGCGGAGCGCATCACCAACAAGCTGACCAAGTTCGCACAATACGCCATCGCTGGCGACTACGAGGGCGTCAAGGAGTTTGGCAGCGATCTGAAGAAGCTCGGCCTGCCCGTCGAGCATGCGCCGCAATCGTCGCAGCTCTTCAAGATCGGCTCGATGAACTACGAGGACATGAAACAGTTCTCGGTGTGCATTGAGGAGGCGCTCTTCAAACTGCCGGCGCTGCGCGAACGCGCGCTCACCTACAAAATGGAGGAGGTCCAGGTGACAGCTGTCGACGAGATAACCGTGGAGCAGGACTACGAGGGCAAAATCCTGAAGCAAATCGCACGCGTGCGCCTATTCTTCCTGGCCTTCCTCACGGGCATGCCCACCATTGAGCTGGGCGTCAACGACATGTGGCGCCAGGGCAAGGAGGTGGTCGGACGGCACGACATCATACCCGTGGCCACCGAGGAGTGGATTCGGCTGGAGGCCGTCGAGTTCCACAGCGTTGTCAATCAGCAGGAATACGAACGCACACGCACCATCAAGTATGTGCTGTGCTAGCCGCACGGCGAATCGATCGTGGCCAATAATCTAATCACTAATCTTCCACAGATTCCAGCCGCCAGATGCCAACTACATTGAACTGCTGCGCTTCCGTGTGCGTCCGCCGAAGAATCGTGAACTTCCTCTGCAGCTGAAGGCCACCTGGTGCGTCACCGGCAACAAGGTTGAGCTGCGCGCCGACATCCTCGTGCCCGGCTTCACATCGCGCAAGCTGGGCCAGATTCCCTGCGAGGATGTCTCGGTGCGTTTCCCCATACCCGAGTGCTGGATCTACTTGTTCCGCGTGGAGAAACACTTCAGGTACGTGCTCACCCTCGAATAATTCTGATTGATCGGTTCCAACTGAATGTTTGCTTGCCTTGGCGCAGATATGGCTCGGTCAAGTCGGCCCATCGACGCACCGGCAAGATCAAGGGCATTGAGCGCATACTGGGCGCCGTGGACACGCTGCAGGAGTCGCTCATTGAAGTGACCTCCGGCCAGGCCAAGTACGAGCATCATCATCGAGCCATCGTCTGGCGCTGTCCGCGCCTACCCAAGGAGGGGCAAGGTAAGTGGAAGCCTCTGGCCCCTGCTTCACTTAATGCTCACTCGACTTGACTGCTTCTCCCGCAGGCGCATATACCACACATCAGCTGGTCTGTCGCATGGCACTCACATCGTACGATCAAATACCGAGCGAATTGGCGCCATACGCATTCGTGGAATTCACAATGCCCGCCACGCAGGTCTCGCATACCACCGTGCGCTCCGTGAGCGTGCAGGACTCGGACGCCGACGAGCCGCCCGAGAAGTACGTCCGCTATCTGGCACGGCACGAGTACAAGTAAGTGCAAGTGAAGGGGAGACTCCACTTAGAATTTCGATTATTCACGTTGCTTATGCTTATGCATTTTCCAGAGTTGGCATCGAGACCACGCACGGCGAGTCCACGAATGCGTATCTGGCGGCAACGCGTCCCATCCGGGAGGAGCCCGCCGCCGTGGCCGCCAAGCCGGCCGCCTCGCCGGTGCCGCCCAGCGACTCGGACTCGGACTCCAACTAAGCACTGATGGAGCACCCAGTGAACTGCATTGTGGTTCGGTTTCCAGCGCGATATATTCTACAGTATATTTTACGCATCAGCACTCAAGCCTCAACATCCGGTATTTGGTTATCTTTCGTGTTCTCATCGTATGATAATTTCATTCGAGATGCTCCCAGTGGACCCGATTGACCCAATCGCGTGCACTGCGAGCAGCTCGAATATATGTAATAATGATTAGTTGACAATAAATACAGGAAATGCAACACCAGATCAACGCGCGTGCTGAGCGGCCTAGGAAACATCTAGAGTTTACAGATGGACGATCAGTGATGGTATGGACTGGATTGAACGGCATGGCTGCTGGCTGTGCTCGAGTCCTGTTGAGTCTCCGGTTCTCTAGCCACACAATCCACAGACCCACAAGCCCACATGCTAACCATTATTAACCATACATATATATACATATATACACTGTAATATCCATCTCGAGTTATGAACCATGTTAACCAAGCGACCAAGCGAGCGAGGCGGTGCCGGATCGTATCGTACGTAACGTCAATCCATACATATGCATAGGAGTAATGGTTAAACATAAAACTAAAAAATAACAAACATTTACATACAAATATACATATATATATACACATACATATATACAGCAATGCGAGTTCATAGTTATAACCAACAAACAGATGTTACATACATAAATATACATATGCATATACATAAATATATATATACACATATACTTTAAGCGCAAGTGACAAACATGAGAAATGAAAAGCAATTTCGCAAAACATCGTTCAACTATTATTTAAGGTTATGTTGAAAATGTTAATCCATAGAAGAAATGTCAGCATCCCGTTTAGCATCTACTGAATAATACTAATCTAGTTATCCGTCAACCCGAACGCCACTGGAAAGGATATCAATATGGATCGCAGGCGACGGGCTAACGCACACACACACTAACACACACACACACGTACTACTATAGACCCATTCATAGAGCTCTGATACACTGAAAAGAAAAAACTATACATATTTTAGAAAAACGTTTAACTAGATATGTTACCGCCTAGAAGACCAGCTGAATTTACCGGATCATTTGAATGCAGCACGGAATCAAGTTAGTGTTGGAAAACAGCTGCGGCTGCAACACCGCCAGCTGGCAACACTGGCGAACGGCAGCTCCAAGCGATCAACTGAAGCTCATCAAATCGTATAAACTGACAGCCAACTGCAACTGTAACTGTAAAACTATCCATACTATAAATAAATATATATATATATTTAAAGATCAGAGCGAAAATAAACTAAGCTTTATGTAACAAATTAATTTACAATTTATATATATACACATTAATTAATTAATTCAATTCAAATTTAACTTCAAGCAAAACGGAAATGCATATTCAAATGTTATTGTTGTGAATCAAACTAAATTATATATTCAAAACAAAAATAGATAAATAACTAAAAAAAAGTATATATATATATATATACATGAAAAGAATAAATTATCGAATGAAACGTAAACTAAATGAAAAGCATATGGCAAAAGCATCTTTGTTAAATAAACCAACAAATAAATACATATAGAAGAAAAGAAGAGGAAAAACATAAATAAATATATATATATATATATACATATATACATGCATACAAAAGATATATACATACATGCATATTACAAACTAATTGAGTTGAATAGCTGAAATTGCAAAATAGATTTGTTAATTTAGTGTTTAACGAATATACATACATACATACATACACACATACATACACATACTCGAACTTCAAGTGGTCCATCTTCAGTTAAGTTCCTTAAATTCCCAGCACCAAAATCTTCTAGATCCGATTTCTTGTTTACTCACACGCATGCAAACGGACAGACAGACAGACACACACACACACACATGCATACAGAGTGGCAGAAGCAGCAAAGAAATCATGCATAGTTCATATATGATACATTTATATATATACTACAATTAATGAATGCCCCCCTTATATATGTATATTGTGAGTCCCTAGGAATTATGAGCTAAAACAAATTTCTCATTAATTATATTGTATGTTATTTGTTTTGAATACGTTTAAAATTATATTATATAAATATATAAATATATTCGCACTGATACATATGTATATATGTATATATATACCATATGTATCTGTAACTGATGTGTACCATAAAATGTGCAAGAGATATGAATCGATCGATCGGACACAGCTCCCCCAAAATCCTCTTCCCCCTCCCCCTTCTGAGAGACAAGTTTCACACATGTTATATATATAAAATATACATATACATAAATGGTATTATCCGACGAACTAAATACAATATAATGATTATTATGACAAGTACGCGACGCGAAATGCATGAAATGATGGCAAATTAACTAGTCAAATGAGAAAATAAATATTGAGAAACCTACAAACAACTTTACGCCACAATTTTGTTTTCAATTTACTGGGCTTGCAAGCATATAGTGTATATGCTACATAGTGTGCATATGATAATTTATAAAGATTTGGCTGGGGCACAGCTTTAAGCCATTTATCATGCGGCTGGCCCTAAGCCCCAGCCAGCGTCTACGTCTAATGCAATCAGTGCACATGTGCACAGATTTACCACTCGAAATCCTTGTGAAATATATTATGCTCAACTTTTTACCAAAAAGCATCTTCTCTCGCCGGCTGACCTCGCCGCAGTGCGCCCCTCCCTCCCTCGCGTCCACCCCTCTATAGCGGCAAAGTTGGTCGTGAGGCGAGCTTGTGACGTGCCTTTGTGGACTGTTTGCGGCTGTCTGCGCTGAATGCTAATCATCTCTCTCTCTCTCTCTCTCTGTCTGTTTGCTCGCTGCAGGCGAACGCAAACTTGCCAAATTATCTACAACAGAATTTGTCAGTTGACCAACTGCTGAATGACACGGCGTATGAGTAATATTTTGCTCGAGTATTCTGCTGATGTTGGCCAACATTAAATGGGTCAGACTGCCTCTCATAGAAGACGGAAAAGGAAATGGCCCTCCCACTCTCTCTCTCTCTCTCTCTTTCTCTGTCGCTCTCTTGGATTCGTTAAAGTTTTTAATTTATACATCTAGTCCATGGACTTTATGCTTTCAGGGATTCAACTCGACTTCTCTGCAGTTCCAGTTGAAATGTTGAAAACTCTAAATCTGAGCATAAATTCAGGTAAATCAGGTGACTGACTCTTGGCAGGGCTTAGACAATGCACGAATCTGCTGAGCTGCTGGGCCATACCACACCACAGCCATGGCTCAGCTTGAGCCATTCGATTCAATTATAAAGTACTTGGCATTTAGAGAGAGATTTCATTATTGGAATATCGCAATAATCCTTTAATTTAAGCAGCTCTGCGCGTGGCTTTAACAACTTTTGGCCTGAACGTCCCGAGGCCTGTCAAGTCGCACATTGCCAGCACGTGATGAAAGTCCTGCTGTCAAGAGAGCTGACAGCCTCCTCCCCCACTCCTGCTCCTGCTATTTCTCGTGCCAGTTCAAGTCAAATATTAGAATCTTATGAACTCGAGCGCCAGTGCCTGGCATAACTGAGTTAGCCATTGGCCAGAGCCTGGCCCATTCATGCATATAGCACCTCAGCCCCCCGCCCATCCCTGCCCCAACATATTGAATGCTCGCCTCAGTTTGAGTTTGGTTATTGCCGGCTCGACTCAATTTTGGCCATTTCAATCTGTCTGCTGAAACGTGCGCTCTCTCCTTTGGCCCGCCATGGGCTTGGCGCGGCTGACAAACAAACAAGTCACGATTGAATCAATAAACGACTTGAATAAGTGACACAAGCTGCCGCCAACAACGCAATGAAGATGTTTACAAATATGAGATTTTTGACATCTGGCCACAGCCAACGAATTCATATTCAATAATCAGCTGCCACAAGATTGACTGGCATTCGGCAGGAGGCGCACTCGACACACGAGTGAAGGCAGCAAACTCAATTGAGGACTATAGAGATGATAGTAGTAATAGGGGGAATATGCTATGTTTCTTTGTCTTTGTTATAAATTTTACAAATCGCTATATTCTATCCATTAATGAGAGACCTTAAGGAAGACTCTTGAGCGCTTTGCTAGATATTTTATAGTGAATATGTATAATGAAAGACCTTAAAAAAGACTTCCTCAAGAGGCAGAGACTTTCAACTCGACAACAGGTTCCCAAGACTATAGAGATTATAATAGTAATGGAAGGATTGTTCGTGCAAGGGGATTCGTTTTTTTTTATACCCTGAACCCATTGAAAATGGGAAATCAGGGTATAATGTTTT